TCTTTCCAGAATGCCTCCCAGTGCTACTATTTTAACACATTTTAAAAAAATCGTACATAAGCAGGGAGATGGCTGTAACAGTTTCTCAGGCTGGAGAACAGAAAAGAAGACATGTTCACCAATACTGCCACTTCTGGATGAGAGAAGAGGAAAAGCCCCCAAAATTCTGGTTGAAGGTCCCTTCAATGAGGAGCCTGCTGCTTTATTTTTAATTTCATTCATTTTTAGTAATTGAATTCTCAAAGAGCTTGATTTTTTTGTTCAGAAACAGGATTACTGCCTCTGAGCCTGGGTCATGCCCTCTTGCTGTTTCATAGCATCCTTAGTCATGCCATGTTCTTTGAAGCCAGACTTTGAAATATTTTAAAAATAAGTCTTGTTACCTATATGGTGTCTGTTTGGGCTCCATCTGGCTTTGCTTTCTTAGGATGTTTGTTCTTTTTACGATGGGGGAACTGTAGCCTCCCATGTTGGGTGTTTTATCAACAAGCAACTTGTTATGTCCTTTGTGCTTATACTGTGAGCAAAATGTAAGATATGGTCCTTTCCCTGAGGGCGTTTGGTTCATCTTGTCTGTCTTTTGGACTGATACAGTAGGAAGCCAGAGAACGGTGTCTTGTGGACTCTTCCCCTCCGCTGCTACCCCAGCTCTGAATACTGATGAACATATTGTGCCAATTAAACATAACTAGATCTTTGAATTTACAATCCTGATTTGGTTTGGAGTTTAGTGTTACGTTGTCATTATCAACATCCAAGATTCTAAATGAAAGTCGGGATTAATCAATGTAGATCCTCATCAACTCGAGGGATGTATTTGCTCCTGAGTGGTCTACATTGCTGTCCATGCTTACTCAGCTGTGAGACGTGATAGGTTCTCTCCCACATTATGTTTAAGGTAGCAGTCAAGGGAACTTGTAGTACCTTTCTTTTCTTTTTAAGTGTTTATTTTTTAAATTTTATTTATTTGAGATAGAGAGGGGGAGAGAGAGAGAACATGAGTGGTGGGGAGGGGCAGAGGGAGAGAGCTGAGCAAGGAGCTGGACATGGAGCTTGATCCCAGGACCCTGAGATCGTGACCTGAGTGGAAAGCAGGTGCTTAACCAACTGAGTCTCCCAGACACCCCTTGTAGTAACTTTCTATTGTTTTTTTTTCTTTTTCTTTTTCTTTTTTTTTAAGATTATTTATTTATTTATTTATTAGAGAGTGAATAGGAGAGAAACAGCATGAGAGGGGAGAGGGTCAGAGGGAGAAGCAGGCTCCCCGCTGAGCCGGGAGCCCGATGTGGGACTCGATCCCAGGACCCTGGGATCATGACCTGAGCTGAAGGCAGTTGCTTAACCAACTGAGCCACCCAGGCACCCCCTTGTAGTAACTTTCTAATTGTACTTCCCACCATTTAAAATTGGGTGAAAGCGCAAATGGCAACTCTATAATGTTATATTTTGGCCTATTTTGGTTTTGAGTAAAACTCCTTGGATGGTTCCTAACCAAAAATTTAGTTTCTTGCAACTGACCAAACAGATGACTTCTTTCAAGAAGAAGAAGAATCCAAACAAGAATCAAAAATGGCCAGTTTTGTTTGTAGATGAACTATTTATAGATTTAAGACTACAGCTTTCTTCTCAGTAGAGTGATGGTGAAGAAGACAGTTTGGGAATCACTGCCAATTTTCAAACACCAGCTCCGCCATTGTGTAGTGCATAGTATGTGACAATGGGCAGTTTTCATTCTATCTCCATTTCCTCGTATGTAAAATGTGATAGTAATGGTCCCTATACCATAAGGTTAATGTGAGGATTAAGTGAGATCATGTATATATACAATGGATCCTCAACTACTGGTTTGATGGATAAAAATGGGGTGTCTGATTTTTTAGGCATGGTACTGGTCAACTGGGATATAAAAATGAGCAAAAATTGGGGCATCTGGGTCTCAGTCAGTTAAGTGTCCAACTCTTGGTTTCGGCTCAGGTCATGATCTCAGGGTCCTGGGATTGAGCCCCACATTGGGCTCCATGTTTGGCAGTTGTCTCCCTTTCCCTTTGCCCCTCCCCCTGCTTATGCTCTCCGTCTCTATAATAAATAAATAAATCTTTTAAAAATGAGCAAAATTCCTTCACTTGGAGCTTTACAGTTAGATGAGGGGACTAATTAATTAGCAATCATATGAAGGAATATAATGTTGTGACCACAATAAATGCAATAGAGAGGCACGAGGCACTTCAGGGGCATATAATAGGGAGAGGAGCTGTCTGGGAGATTAAGGAAAGTTCCTGTGGGACGACCGAGTTCAAATGTAAAGAAAAATAGATGGGAATGAATTAAGAGAAGGTGTGTGTTTGCCACATGTGTGGGTGAGCACATGTAGGATGAGAGTGTCCCATTCAGAGAGATGAGCATGGAGAGTGGTTCTGAGGCAAGAGGGCACTTGGTGACTATAAAGAACTGAAGAGGCCAGTGTGTGAAGGGAAGGGTACAATGGGCAGTGTTACCTGAGATGAGGCTGGAGTGGGCAGGAGGGAACGAGTGGTCACAACCTGGGGGCCTTTCTAGGCTATGTTTAGGAGTGTGGTCTAGCAAACCATGTTAGGTGTTTAAATTCTGGAGAGACATTTGCAAAAATCTATTATTGTTGTTTTTGGGTTTTAAAAAAAGATTTATTTATTTACTTGAGGTGGGAGGGGCAGAGGGAGGGAGAGAATCTCAAGCAGACTCCCTACTGAGCATGGAGCCCCCCCAGGGGGCTAGATCTCACTACCCTGAGATCATGACCTGAGCCAGAATCAAGAGTCAGCCATTAACTGACTGAGCCACCCAGGCGCCCCTATTGTTGTTATTGTTATTATTATTTTTATTCCTTAGCAGTCCTTTGCATACTAAATATGTTATATACATTAATGTTTATTTATTGATTCATTCCTCCAATCTCTATTATTGTTCTTCTCTGAATGCTTAATTCCTCATTCCTTCCACTTAGGAATAAAGCTGAGGAGATAGCTTTGTTTTCTTTCAATCAGCTTTACTATTTGAAGTGGAATTTGCTTTTGTACAACTTTAGGCAAGAAAAATGAAAAACAATTGCCAAAATATTACCTGCTGTGACACACATAAATATTTTATGCCTCTTCACCTTTGTGAAATGCTCAAATGCTGTCATTTGTTACTTGTCTAACTTAAACAAACCCAAACCAAAATCATTAGAAATTTTGGTGTCTTGTGTTGGCAGGAAATTCAGACTGATTTCACATGTTTTGAACTTACCCAGAACCAACTTTTGGAATTCAAGGCCTGCGGTCGACTCTGCGTGACAAGGGGGGAATTTGACAGTATGCGTGTGTGCGCGTGCGGACGCGCACACGTGAATATTTTGTATTTGCTGATCTTCTCTTGATCAGTGAAGAGCTAACCTGGGTGCTGTGAAACTCCCCAGATATCAGTAAGGCCACATTTTTCCTACCCTAAAATAAGGAAATAATGTATTCTATTAGGACATGTAAATAAAATTATCCTGAGCTTTACATAAAACCTTGGGTGGCCTTGGGATGCCCTGGGGCTCATACCATGAAGCCCCATCAGTGTTATCCTTCATAGCACCATCATGCTGCGCCCCTTTACTTCTCCATTCTCTAGCACACCTGCTGTGGGTAAAGGTGCCTGCCCTGTCTTGTTCTGTAATTGGCCCATTATTGTTGTACTGGTAAACTTGGTTGGGTTTACTTTTTTTGTATTTGTATATTATTCTGGTATAACATGAGGTTTTAGCTCATCTAGGATGAGAGTTGTTAATCATACTAGCATTTTTCTAACCACAACTATTAACATATGTATAATAACTTCACATTTCATCTAATACGCATCTTCCCAGAAGTTTTCTGAATACAGTTGTAAAACTAAAAAGTACTTTTAAGGGGCACCTGGGTGGCTCAGGGGGTTAAGTGGCTGCCTTTGGCTCAGATCATGATCCCAGCGTTCTAGGATCGAGTCCTGCGTCGGGCTCCTTGCTCAGCGGGGAGCCTGCTTCTCCCTCTCCTTCTGCCCCTCCTCCTGCTCATGCTCTCTCTCTCTCACTGAAATAAAGAAATAAAATCTCTAAATTTTTTTAAAGATTTTATTTATTTATTTGACAGCGAGAGAGACAGCGAGAGAGGGAATACAAGCAGGGGGAGTGGGAGAGGGAGAAGCAGGCTTCCCGCTGAGCAGGGAGCTGGATGTGGGGCTTGATCCCAAGACCTTGGGATCATGACCTGAGTTGAAGGCAGACACTTAATGACTGAGCCATCCAGGTGCCCCAGAAATAAAATCTTAAAAAAAAAATAAAATAAAAAGTACTTTAAATGGTAGGAATTGTCTCTAGCAAGCTAGGTAATGAGTAGAATTTCAGATGGTGGGTTTGGCCCATGGGGATCAAGATCCCCCATTACATTGTTATTGCTGATAATCACTTATTCCACAAGAAGCAGAGCATTATGGGGAGCTAAAAATCAGGTGAAGCATCTTCATCTTTATTTGATATACAAAATTTGATTATTTTCCCCTCAGGAAATATAATTGTTTTAGCCATATTCTTCTGTAAAACATATGTAGATCAAATACTTTTCGCTGATTTAACAAAATAAGCAAAAATAAAAATTTCCTGATTTAGCACTGTACTTATATAATAGTTTGTTTTCTATTATATGTCTAGTTGTTGTTAATAGTAATTAGTTAATTGAGTGGACATACTTAATATTTGATCAATATGTTAAGAAAATAGTTGAGCAAAGAGTTAATGGCTTAGAATATTTTGTTTCATGGTTGTGTTAATGGACAATACATATATATATTTATATATATATATTTTTTTAAATAGCAATTGCTCTGGTAAATCAGTTTCTCACATAGAACGTGAGCCCCTTATATGCAGTACTGATTATTAATGCCTGACATGTAACATGTAATGTTTGTTAAATGAATAGGTAATTATTCTAAAAAATACTGTATCTGTTCCAGGACCCGATCTTCAGGTTTGCATATCCAGAAAACCTACATGTTGCACCAGGAAGATGGAGGAGAGATACCAGATTGCGGCTCGCCAAGATATGCAGCAAGGGCTTCAAACATCCAGCTCGACACTGAAGTTTCTAATATCGCGAAATGCCGCGGCTTTTCAAGGTAAATGTATCTTGATTTCTGAAAGTAGGGAGAAGCCTTGTTAGGCAGTTTTCCTGGGAAAATTGGCTGGGTTTACTTGTCTTTGCATACCATTATTCTGGTATAAAGTGAAGTTTTAGCTTCTTCTAACCCTCAGAACTTGTTTCCGAGGTCATCCTTGGGCATAAATACTGAGTTGGACTGGGGAAACTGTTACGTTACTGAAATGGTCCTTGGAAATATATGCCCTTCTAGGGTCCTTCCAGGGCCCCCAGTATTCTGACCTACAGTTTTACTTCAACATGGATGGACATAATTATTAGATTTTAGTGAAGTATTCCATAAAATAAAATCTGATTGCTTTTAACTGGATAGTTATAGATTTGTTTTTAAAAATATGATTTGAAGAAATATTTGTCGAATTTTTCCCCCTGCTACCTCATGTGGTTTTCATAAGAACACCAGTGTAATATATCAAAGTGCAGACAAGTCTGATAAACAGTAAAATAGGATATAATAATTAGATATTTAAGGATCAGCTAAGACCAGAACTCAACCTTAATTCAAACAGTATGTTCAGAAATAAAATAAATGGGTTATAAAATTACAAGGCACATTGGAAAATAGATTATCTTTTTCTTATTTTAGTCATCATCTCTATAAAATTCCTTATTACTACAATAAAATAGCTTAATTTATTTTTCCTTTTATAAAGCATTAGCTTTTCTGTATATGATTAGAATGAAAACATCTAGATTACACTACTTTTCACAAATTTATTGCTTTTGTTCAAAGCAAAATATAACTTGTTAGTATTCCTTTTTCTTAAGTATATTAATGTCCATCTATTTAAATAATTTGTGCTTTGTTTACATGCATAACTAAAGCACAAAGCTGATTAATTTTTAAAACTATGCTCATTAAATAAAATAAGTACAATAAATCGGAATAAAATTTAAGTTGAGATGAAATGTAGTTCATGATGAATTGATGATTTTTTTTGTGGAAACTGACTTACCAAATTTTTTTTTTTAAGATTTTATCTATTTATTTGAGAGAGAGAATGAGATAGAGAGAGCATGAGAGGGGGGAGGGTCAGAGGGAGAAGCAGACTCCCTGCTGAGCAGGGAGCCCGATGCGGGACTCGATCCCAGGACTCCAGGATCATGACCTGAGCCGAAGGCAGTCGCTTGACCAACTGAGCCACCCAGGCGCCCTGACTTACCAGATTTTAAGATGTTATTATTTTAGTGATTTTTTTTTTTGGATGTCTTAGAAACAACCTTATTTCTGTTATGGGATATATTCATGTGAAATTGTTGGAGGAAAACATATTGATATGCTTTTTAAGCAAAAATTTGTGATTTCAACTGGCTGAATCAGAACCAGAAGACTTTAACTACACACACAGAGTGATATAATGATTTTGCCTCATGAAAATGACAACATGCACAATATGGATAATACATTGTAGTGATAAAGGGACAGTGAATAAACCAGTTTGACCAGAACAGGGATGGGGAGTGTGGTGGAGACTCATATGCTTGAAAAGGTGAGCTGGACTCACATGGAAGGAGACTTAAAGCATCATCTTGAGTTTGAGAGTCATTAAAGATTTTTGAGTAGGAAAGCTTCATTATGATTTCTCAACTTTTAATGTCAAAACTAAATCCCTTCAAGTAAGAATATTTGGCCAAAGAAGATCATGACCAAAGAAGCCAACTTTTTTGGGTAGCAGTGTTAACTATAGAAGTGAAAGAAAGTGCCATCAGTTGCTAATTTTTGGGCATTCAGTGAATGTTCGTGGAACATTTTCTTCTGCCTTCAAAAGATACGGTAACCTTTCACACTTTGCTGGATAAATTGATCAAGATAGAGAGAGTACGTTATGGAATGCCTGCCTGGCTCAGTTGGTAGAGCATGCAACTCTTGATCTCAGGGTCGTGAATTCAAGCCCCATGGTGGCTGTGGAACCTACTTAGGAAAAAAAAAAATATGTAATATATGTATACATACATATATATATATAGAGAGAGAGAGAGAGAATACATTAAGTTCAAATGATTGGGAAAAATACAAAACCTGAATTATTTAGATTTTTAAGATGGGTTCGGGCTGCTGAAAAATTTTGGTGATATTGTTAAAAGTTTGGTGACAACTAAGTAATAGAAATACATGGCATTGTCTCTATCTACCAGAGTGTCAGGTAATTTTATATACATTAAAATTTTTTCTCTTTAATACATTGTGTTGTATTCAATAGGTTGAGTTTTGCTGTTTACTTAAATACTAATCATAAAAAATGAAAATGGTAGGAACTTTCTTAAATATGACTTGTTATAAATTGTTGTTTTCTGCCTTTGTGAAATGTCAAGTTTTATTTAAGAATCCAGAGAAGGCAAGATAAATTTAGAAGAAATTTGCCTAAAGGCTGACTTTACTGGAACACATTCTCTTACTTACCTGCTTTTAATTTAATAAATAGAGTAAGTAGCTTTAGGCTTATGTCCATAAAAAGAAGCTTAAATGTATATGCTGAAAGCAATTTGAGAAATCACATTTACTGTACCATAATTGAGCAGGCACCTTTATCAATAAGGAAAATGCCTACCATCTAGTTTTTGTGCCATCAGAATATCTGAAAACAATTCAGTCTTTATTTTTCTAAGAAGAAAGAAGCCAACACATTTTATTGGGAAACTGTCTGCTTGAGAGAAATTTAATGGGGACATCAATTCACTTCTCAAATGTTGTAAGTAGATTTTGCTACGTTTTGATATTTTGACTTTTAAATAGTTCATTTATGTCCTCTGCTCCAACAGTATTAACCTGTTTTTTTTTTTTTTTACTGGTATTCTGGGTTATAGAAGACTTTGGACTGGTTGGCAGTCTAGATGTAGTATGGTTCCTTCTCTCATGGCTTTTATAGAATCCTGTGGAAGCCTGTTTTTGAAGCAATCCCTTGGATGCGGCTGGTGGGAACGATCACTTGGGTCTGTGGATTTAGTGGGCAGGCACATTACTGTGAGATGAAGAAATTGTTAAAGGGAGGGAGGAAACGGTGCTGGCAACTGGTGCTAGAAGACAGAGGGTTATGCCGTATACAGTCCACATTCAGCTCTGGAAGTTAGCCCTGGAAGGTACATACCAGTAGAGTTGGAATCAGCCTATTGGGACAACTCTTCCATTTTTCTTTTATGGAATTTATTTGTGTTTGTCTCAATCAGATTTTTAAGGAAATCAACAAACAACAAAGCAAAAATCTGTTTTTGGAAGTGTCCGTAATTATGACCTGGGGCTTCACTATATCCTAAGTGTAGTCATTCATACAGGATGGAGCATTTTATAAGCTAAAAGGAACAAACTGATATCTCTGTGTCTGTTGCTGTTCATAAATACGTGGTGCTGTTTGCAAAGAGGAATGTTGGCTTTGTCACAGTGCAGACAATAACTGTTCTTTATTTTCGGGGCTTTATAATGCTCATGAATAAAGCAGAATAGCCTGAAATAATGCAAAAGAGTTTGCTTCCCTTCAGCTCTTTTACTCTGAGTGTGGGGTTGCTGGCTTTAAAAATATTTTGGAAATATTCTTCATAATGTTTTATTTATTTATACACTAAAGTATGGTGTGATTCATGAAGAAATAGAGGAAGTTGACAGAAAATATGTCATCTACTGTAAAAAAGCAACTCATGCAGTTTTCAAATTTTTCAGTTTTTTAATCTCCATTCAAATAAGATGCTGCAGTTTTTTTTTTTAAATTGAAAACTACTAAACAAAATTTTCAGCATCACTTTCAAAAATTAAAAGGAAGGAAAAAATAGAAAAAAGAAGGAGTATTTGGCAGAACACTAATGGAAACTTGTGTTTTGTTGAAACGTTGGGAAGGTAAGGTTAAAAAGCTACATCTTTCCTTTGAGATGCACTTTTGCCTATTTCTCTTATCTTACAGTAGCTTATGTATTTCTAAAATATATGGTAGATACTAAGTCTTTCTTCTGGAGGTTTCCAGTTTTATATATGGCATTTAAAAAGTGTACATTATTACAAAAGACTGAGTGCTAAATGGTGGAACAGGAAAGATTTAACATTTTTATTTATGATTTCATTCTCTTGGCTGATTAAATTTTCATTTCTCCATTGTAAGTACTTGAAAGATTGGCAAGCTTGTTCTCGTGGGTTGAGATGTGAGATTTAGGAATTTAATAAAAAATACATTCCTATTTTTAATGAAATATAGGAATATGTTCAAAATTAAATATCTTATTTTAAAAAGTAGGTGAATTCAGAATGAGAATGTAATTAATGGATTTTCCTCCTCACACTAACAGATGTTAGCTACTGGGAAGTGTGTAGCTAGTGTGTAGCTACTGTAAACCTAATGTGAAGTCGAAGGCACCTACATCTATAGTCAAAGGCACAAAGATATAGTGAATAGTGGAATATATATTAAAGTATAGGAGAGTGGAGAGATTTATATAAATGTTATTAAGCATGAAGTCCATGAATCTTATTTTATTCACTTCAGCTATGCTTTGACAAAGCTGGATAATATTTAAAATTATTCCTTGGAAGAGCCTTCTGTGGAAGGATAAAGGAATAATACTGTTTTTGACACTGAGAATTACCTGATCAAGAGTTCAAGTGTAAGAGAACGAGTAGCCGTAGGCTGGCAGTGTGGAGGAGGCTTGGTTTTCTCCATCTCTAACGCCTAGTAAATATAATGAACTGAACTGCATGAATAAACGAAGGAATGAACAGTACTCAGCAGGAAGATGGTTCTGAAGTAAAAATGACAGAGTCCCTCCCTTTCTCATTCCTTTCTCTCATGTATTCCTCTCTCAATGATTTATTCTCGCTGTGGAGTACCTACTAGGTGCCCGCGCTGTCGGGTGTTTGGGTCGTAAGTGTCTAGACCTTCAATCTATTTATTTTTATGGATTCTTTCAGACTTCTCATATGCCAACATCTGGTTATTGCTTTTATGAACTAGCAAGGTGCACATGATGGTGTCTCTGTCA